ACGGGCAGGCTCTGTAGTGGAGCCGAAGAGTACTCTGATGGTTTGACCCGCTGATATGTTTCGCATGTCTTAACGTACCGGGCGACCCACTTGTACATGTGGGTCCACCAGAAGGACTGAGAGACCGACAGAAAGGTCTTCTCGCGGCCCAAGTGGCCGCTGGAGGGCGCGTCGTGCGCCTCCGCGAGGATATCGAACTTCAGATCCTCGTCGTTGGGTACGACCACCCGTGGAGGATCATTGGGCTCCACCCGGTAATAGAGGAGTCCATCCTTCAACTCATATCGGTGGAGCCGTGAGCACTGTCGCGACGAGAGCCAGTCGGACTTTGCGCTCGTTCCTGCCATAAGGAACTTGACGATAGGCGCGACAGCCTCATCATCACGATACGCCATGCGTATCCGATCATATAGATCCGTTGTCACCCGCGTGATGTGGGCCAGCTCATAGTCAGGGACGCCGAGAGAGGGCGTCCGCAAGCACGTTAAGCTTGCCCGGCTTGTATTCGACGCGAAAGGTGTATTCCGCGAAGAAAGGACAGCCACCCTCGCCATCCTTTGGGAGAGGTGAGGCGAAGTTAGTCGCCGACCTCAAGGGACGCGTGGGTCTGTGTAGATCACAAAGGGCCTAGAGCCCAGAAGGTGAGCACGAAACTGCACAAGGGCATATTTCATTGCCAGGAGCTCCTTGTCGTGGCAGGGTAGTTCCGCTCGGCGGCTTTGAGCTGCCTGGACTGGAACGAGATGACTCGTTCGTGTCCAGCCGTGTCGGCCTGCAGCAATGCACATCCGATGGCGTAATCGGAGGCATCGCAGACGACGCTAAACGGCTTCGTCTCGTCCGGCAGGGCCAGGACAGGGGCCTCTTGGAGACTGGCCTTGATGCTGGCAAAAACATCCTGGTGCTCTTGCTCCCAGCGCCAGTCGACGTTCTTCTGAAGGAGGCTCGACAAGGGCTTAGTGAAGCCCGCGTACCCTGCGCTGTACTTGTGAAGGTAGTTGGCCAAGCCCAACCACTTTCGAAGATCCTTCTGGGATCGGGGTGTCGGCCATGCTGCTATGACCTTGACCTTGTCTGGGTCAGCCCGAACGCCCACGTTGCTTACAAAGCAACCGAGAACTTTAATCTCTGGTGACGCGAAAACGCACTTGTCGATGCTGGCGTAGAGCTTGTTCGCTCGCATTACGTCCAACACTCGACGGAGGTGTCCTAGGTTCACCTCCATGGCCGTCTTACCTCCTTCGGCACGGCTATGGACGAATATGTCGTCGAAGTATGTCTGTACGAAGGTACGCAAAGGGCGGAACAGTTGCGTCACCAGGCGATTGAACGTCGCCGGGGCGTTCGACAAGCCCTGCGGCATGACGAGCCACTCCCAAAGCATGCCGCTTGGAGTGCTTACCGCGGTGAGCGGGATGTCGCTCTCTCGCATCAGGATTTGGTAGTATCCGTCTACCGAATTCAGCGCATTGTACAGTACGCTCCCAGCCATGTTGTTCAACAACACATCCTTTCGTGGGATTGGTGTTTGGGCCGGCACCGTTGCGTTGTTCAGCTTGTTATAAGCGTGAACCAGACGCCACTTTCCGTTCGGCTTCCGAACGCAGAAAGTCGGCGTCGAGTGCGGGGATTTCGACTCCCGCACCATGCCTGCCTTCGCTTTCGCGGCGAAGAAGGCATCAATGACCTCGCACTGCTCGCGCGGGAGAGGCCATTGCCTCGTGACACAATACTTTGTGCCGTACGCCTCGATCCGGTGGGAGTTGGGTCGGTGGGTGTTTGTTCACCACGTCCGCATACTCCGTCACCAAAGGATACACCGGATCCTTGGGGTTCTTAAGGATCTCAGAACCCAAGCGCGTCTGATGCTGCTTGTTCAGGTCTTCCAGGACGTTCTCGTCCAAGACAGAGGAGGCGTTCAGCTCCTCCCGAGTCGTCTCAGGTCTCATGAGTACCATCTCAGCAATCTCTCCAGCCTTGAGGTTGGTCAGGAAAGACTCAGCCGTCATTTCCTCGAGGTTCAGTATCTCTGCAACCTCTGGCAACGGTTCAAGTGGACACCAGATGCCTTGACGGGCATACCGGTCTCGCCATCGAAGATGTGATAACACTCTTCCACCGGCCTTGTCGGAGGAGTACGGGCCCTGGAGTCCGAGTCGCTTGAAGCGACTTCGATCTGAACGAAGTTCGGATCCGACTTGAGGCGGCGGCGGCGTCGTCGACGACGGCGACTGTGACGTCGAAATTTGCTGCCCACGTCTAGGAATGTCGGCACTACGACATCCGAGGCACTTGTGGCCTCGTGTGGTACCGTGGTACCCACACAGGAAGCGTGTTCGACGCCTTCCTCTTCAGTTAAGGTCTGGGCGACCGCGTGTTGCACTGTGTTACCCACACAGGAAGCGGGTTCTACACCTTCCTCTTCAGTTAAGGTCTGGGCGACCGTGTGTGGCACTGTGTTACCCACACAGGAAGCGTATCCGACGTCTTCCTCTTCAGTTAAGGTCTGGGCGACGGCTCTGTTACCCACTATGAACACGCTGTTCTCAGTGTTCCTGACAGCTGCAGCGGTGTGCGGAACTAAGTTCCCCGCCCGTATGCGTAAGTCAACCACACCGGCAAAGCATCTTCTTTCCCTAAGCCTCGAAAGAATCCTCGGAGTGAAGAGCACTTCAACGACAAAACGCAATATTAATACAAACAGCTCCCCGCAAACAGCGCAAGCATGCCCAGCTTGTGGTGATGGCAACACATGCAGACGAACATAA